TACTTTGCAAATTTAAAACACGCCACACAAATAAATTAGTTCCCATATGTTCTCTTCTATTTCTGGGGAAAATTTACCTAAAAAAAAATAAAATAAAAAAACTACTGAACTTATCCCTTTTCTACTAAATGAGATCTAAACAACATAATGTTATAAATATGCTCTTCTGGAATGTTCAGGGGCAGGGATCTTGGATCTTGGGTAGAGCTGCAGAGTGCTTTCCACGTTAGCCAGTAAAATTGAGAAAAACTGGTGTGCATACTTGGCACCTCATTTCAGGATGAAAACCTTTAACTGTCATATGTCACTTGGGGTAAGACAAGATGCATCTATGGAAAGAAGTGAATCTCCTAGGGTGAACTCCAAAAGAGACTCAGGGGAAGCAGGTGGCAGAGAACTCCAGATCATCTTCTCCAAAACCACAAGTGGCACAAAGACCACCATGAGAACACACCAAAAGAACAGCAGGCACAAGGTGTGTGTGGTTGATAATCACCTCCCTCAGAAAGAGGGTGGAGGGACAGACAGCTTCTCACAAGCTCCGTGCCTCTGACCTGGGGGCACAGAGATGTAGGTCTACATCTCAGGGCCAGGCAGGGAGAAAGAGGGAGAAGCAGGATTGGATGAGACGTGAAGAAAGAAAGAAAGATGGAAAGCAGAAAATGACTAAGAAAGGGAAAACCAAAAAATAATCCTGCAAAATAGGCTTGGAAGGAAATTATTCAGCAGTCTAAGAAAGAATGCAACCCGAGGAAAAAGCAGGTCAAAGAGTCCTCAGACAGACCAGGAAGATCCAGCAAGCCCAGTGCTCGAGAACAGGGACGTGCCAATCCCACTCAAGTTGCTTAAGCTCAGAAAAGTCAGAAATAGCTGCAAGAAAAAAAAATGAGTCCTATTTATATATTAGGGGTGTTTCGATGTATTTTAATTATCTTATACTATCTGTGCTTACACATATAAACCAATGTTTATAAAAATGTCTTATATATAATCTGAATAAATGTATAAATCAGCTGCATCTTAAATGTATTTATACTTAAATACAGAAATTATTCTGAATATCATGCATCATGATATAAGGTTCTTCATTTCCATAAGGATGTTGTCCCCCCAAAAAACCCCTAAATTTCAAAGGAATTAAGTAACTGGGTCAAGGTGAACACATCAGACAAGTCAATAATTGAGATGAGATGCCCCTCCAGTCTTGGACCTACTGCTGGTCAGTAGGGCACAGGCTCTCCCTGTGTGAGCACCAATTCTTCACTGTACAGCAGCCCCCGGTAAAGATAAGTGTTTTCATAAGGACTTAAAATCACTGGCTAGGAGTTGCCAGGTCTTTCTCCTGCCTTCTTTATCCCACCTACTCTCTCTCTCTCCCAGGCTCAGACCTACAAATTCATCATCAGTTTTAATTGATCATCTTACCCACCCTGTTGATTCTGTTATTAAATAGCCTTTAAATGCCCTCCTTCCCCCGGTGTCTGCCCGCTGGACTTACATGTATGCAGGACCTAAGCTCCGTCACCCATGAGAGCAGGCTCAGCTCTCCCTCGCCACAGATCCCCCACCCCCTCACAGGGCCAAGCCAACCCTGTGTCCTTCACAGTCCCCAAACAACCCCATGCCACCGCTCCTGAACCTTTACCTTTCTCTGCACTCAGAATCATCACAGCCTGCCTTTCAGATTTAAAACCCCCCTATCCTTAGAGACTTCCATTAAATGCTGCTTCTTTTAAAAGAACTTTGAGCCACAATATTTAATCCCTGCCTCTGAGGAATCCTTGAAGAAATTTGTAGACATTTTATCCTGCACTGTACCACAGGTATTTGGGACTTCTCTCAGCCTCTTGACTCAAAGCTGAGGGGCCATAGAGCCCTCATCTTTCACCCCCTTCAACAGCAGAAGCCTAGCAAACACTTAGTACTCCATAAGTGTTTGCTAAGTTGCATCCAATTAGCGTTCCCAAGTACTAAAACTGTACTGTTTTTCTTTCTTTCTTTTCCCTGTGGTACTAAGGATTAAAATCAAGGACATCTACCCTGAGATACATCTCCAGAACTTTGTATCTTTTGAGACAGGGTGTCACTAAATCGCTGTGGCTGGCCTCTAATTTGCCTCAGCCTCCTACCTCAGCCTCCCAGCTCTGGGATTATAGGCGTACACCACCATGCCCAGCTAAAACTGAACTCTTATAAATGACATATTTCAAAAGCATTTCAAAAGCATTCTTAAGAAACCAACATTTTACTTAAGTGTAATCATAGTTGTTTTGGGGGTTACCCAGAGATGCTTTGCAAATATCAACTAAAAGTTTGTTTTCATGAAAACATCTTACTGTTCTCAAAGACACAGTCACCAAAATTAGTTTATCCCCTAACAGAGGATCACATCTGTAGGAACAATCACTGGGCCAGACCTCCATGCTATAGAAGTCAGGGAGAATCATGAGCCATGAACAAGTACACGCTGCAAGAAATAGATTTTTGATAGTCTGAACATAATCACTTTCAACCAGCTAAAACTAAAATAAGTAAGTTTCTTATGATTCACAGGATAACAATCCCAAAGGATTTCACTTTAAAAGGGCACAGTATGTCTAATACAGCTGCTCTGAGGCTTGGCCAAAATAACTATCCTTGCTTGACCTTTTGGGCCTTAAATCAATAACAGACACAGAATACATGAAGAAAACTAAATTGCTCTCACTGTACCAAATGCCCAACAACCATAAGACAGTTTATCTGCTGACTATCTGTCCATCCATCTATCCACCCACCCATACTAGCCCATGATTTACATATCACTATCATCATGTTTAATCTAGAAACACATTAATATGCATTGAGCATTCACTTTGTGTCTGACACTATCTAAGTGTTTCATATACATTACACCTCACAACAATTTTGAAGGTAGTCACTGTTAAAATTTCTATTTTACACATGAAGAAACCAAGGCTTAGGATGTTCAAGTGACTACCCCAGTTGACACAGCTGGTAAGGCTGGGATTTGAATCCTGCGGCACAGATTTCCCCAACAGCACACTCTTCACCACTGATGATAAACTACCAGAGCAGGATTTTGTTTCCTTCATGGAGGTAGAGAAGGCTTCTAGAAGTTACACTATTTTTGGAAGACACCTGCAGGGCTTATCACAGGTGGAGGCCCAGGTGTACATACAAATGGAAAACCGGCTATGTTTCCACACTAGTTATACAGTGGGAACTCCTTCTTGATACTGGAATTGAGAAACTAAATCTGAAGCATGCAGCAATCTGAAACTTGACCTGAGCATATGTGTAAGAACTCTTCAGGGCCTGGAGGGCATGGTCAGAGTATTGTCAGGGGCAGATTCTGCACAAGGCCCTGGGAGAAGCCTCAATGGCTTTGTCAGCAAGGTGAAAATGGCAAATGAACACAACTATTTCATTCCGCATTGCAATAAAGAGAAACATTTTGCCTTGTATATAAATGTACCCGCACATGACTCAGTACTGCATTTCTACCAGGAAGGAATGTGGTGACTACAATGTTATGAATAAACAACAAATCACTTTCCACTGGAGGAAAAAGGTCCCTATCTACCACAGCCTTCCTCTGCATAGGCGGCAGCCAGGATTCTTCAGCAGGGAGGTTTATCTGGTGACACTCATTTGCCAGATTCGTCAGTTGAAGGCTGCATGTCAAACCTTCTCTAATGAAACAACAAAGAAAAAGTCCTGGAAATTTTGTTCAAAACTCTTAATATTAAAGAGGGCTTGTCAGAGGCAATAAAAGCCAGAGAAGTTGGGTAACAGTTGAATCAAGAATGAAATATCAGAGACATTTAGCTCTCATTCCAAAGGGTTGGTTACTCTTAATAATTCTGCAACATGTGGGGCAGATGAAGTTAGAATAACAAGCTGTGGAAATCAGTATTTTAAAGATTGGTAAACAAACCACATAGAAACACCTGTGTCTCTCCAAATTACCTCCAGGACTATTTATTTTTCCCCCACTGCCAAACAGCACATATATTGAGAACTCTCACAGTATACATCTGGGCCCAGGTGCCAAGAAAAAAAAACATTTTGCTATAAACTCATTTCTGATCTCTGTGTGTTATTGTTGGATGTCTCAGTATTAGCTGCATCAAGAATAAAATAAGTTGCTATTTTTCCCCCAATTCATTTGCCAAACCCTACTTGGAATGCATGGTGTTGTCCCTCACTAATGGAGTTCCTGTATGGGTGACAGTGAACTAACTGAGGCTCTTGGCCTCAAGTAAATGACTCGTTTATATGAAACTGGTAAAGAGGTCAAGGGTTCTTTCTCTACCAAGGAATTTCTTGACCCTTTCCAATATCAGAACCTGAATCACTTCTTAAAAATGTGCAAGGGAAATGAATATTTTGCTCCACCCTAACAAAATACCAAGTTCCACGGCAGCTCAAAAATTCAAACAGCTAAAACAATACAAGAACAATTGCTTCGAAGAAAATATGTGCCTGTTTATTTTTTTTTTCCCTTGCTCCAGTTTTCTGATGTGCACACCTCAGTGAACTAGACCCGTTTGTAAGTGTAAAGGAACAAATCAGAATTCAAAGACAATTCCATTCTACCCGCATGGAATTCAGGAAGGTAATTTCCCCATGGAAATAACAGACAGACTTATAATCTTCAAATATCATGATTGACATTCTGGATGGGGGAGGTGAGTCCAGCAGAGTAACCCCATGAGTGAGGATATGGGGAATTTGGTCCATATAAGGAACTTTAATAGTGGCAAGGGGGATTTAGAATTAAGTGAATGAAGATTACAAATGTTGCCTCCAGGTAAGCTGGGACGCAGGGGAGAGGAAAGTATTGGGATAAAGGCTGCCAGTCAGAACCCACCTGCAGAAGTGCCACCCCCGCCGTCCGCAGTGATTCACTTGGTGCGGTCTCAAGGCAGGCGCGTCCCCGCCCCTCGCAGCCCTAAGAAGTGGCCCAGTCCAGCGGGGCCGGGCCTCGGCCTTACCTGCGCAGGTGCTCCCGTCGTAGGTCTCGCACACCCACTCGTGGCACTCACACAGCGGCCCAAAGTAGGTGCCCGGCTCGGTCACGTGACAGATGCAGACGCCGCACTCACACCGGCCCCGGCCGTGACACAGGGCGCCCCCTGGGGGCTGCCCAGGTGCTCGGCACCGGCGCTCCGACTCGGCCCGGGACAGCCTGCAGGGGGCGCCCGACGAGCTTCTGAGGGGCGACAAAAATCAAGGCCAGGCCAAGGGTCAGACACAGACACAGCCCTGACTGCTCCCAGCCCAGTTTTCCTGCCCCGTGTTCACCCCACAGGCACGGGTCTGCAGCCTGATCCCTCTGGGAGCCCCTACAAAGGCTGTGTTTTTCCCAAATCGGTACCATCCACCTGAGCAATAACCACGATATAAAATATGACCTTCTTCCTGGTGGATAGAGGTGACCTAGCCCTGCCCTTGGTGGTCGGCGCTGAATCTTATATGCACATTTAGATCAAATGCAAATGATCTTTCAGGTCTTCTTAAAAAATGTTCCATTGCTATCTGCTGGCCAGAGGGTGGTTATTTGGTGGAAAAGAAATGAAGATACAGAAGGAGTTACATATTGTGGTCATATAAGAAATAAAGCTTTTTAAAATTGGCTTCAAAAAGCAAATGAACTATTTAGCAATTGTGATGCGCCTCAAAAGTCTCTTTCAGAATGCAAACCAGACTCCATGTAGATGCTGTGGGAAACAGACAATGCAGTCTTCTGGGCTCTGAGATTGTTCTGTACTTGTAAGAGTACACCTTTAACTCGGGGCAGAAATTCCTGCTGATATGTGTTTGCACAAGGATAAATGATATTTTTTTCTCCAGTGATTGTATTTTTCCAAAGGAAAAGCAAAGGAGAGAGATGAAGCAACACCAGGGTAGACATAAGGAAAGCAACAGCAACAGGTTGAAGACCGTTTATCGCATGCCCAACTTAGTGTCTGCTCTTGGCTTGGGACAGCCGTCTGCAAGCTTCAACCCTGCCACGCAAAGCAGGCAGCTCTGCCTTAAAGAACAACAAACCTCACTTACCTCAGAGATGGCGAGAAGCTCTGAGGAACAGCTGACAGCCCTGCGAGGAGCAGGGAAGAGGCCAGCAGCAAGAAGTGCCCGAAGCCGGGGGGACACATGCTGAGCTCCGGGCTGTGCGGCTGGCGGGCGGGCGGGCTGCACTTCTGCAAGGTGGGGCTCAGTGGGGGGAAGCGGCAGGAGGCAGAGGCACCACCAGCAGATGGCCGGGCAGACGGACCCAGGGACACCCAGGCTCACAGGTCCGGGCTCCACCCGGAGTGGCAATCGCGTTGATGAGCCGCCTGTGAGGATTTGGGCAGGCACTGCTCTGGGCGGGGTGCTGGTGCCAAACCCCTCGAGTGGAGAGTCTAGGCAGGGAAGTAATTAGAAACAGTTGTACAAGCAGATGGTTTATTTTGACATTATATCTATAAAAAAAAAAAAGTATCCTGTTCACAGATTTGAGAAAATCATTACTTTTTTCAAGTAGAGGCCCCAGAAATGTTTGACAAGAGAATTCTGGGGCTGACTGATATTAAAAAGAACTGTTAAATAACCCCCCAAGTTGCAAAGAGGCAGTGGGGAGGCTGGTGACAGCCAATGTGGACGCTGGAGGAGGAAATGACTTTGGCCACACACTTTTTAAGTAGATGCTCCATTTGGGTATGGGGGAAGGGGGTGAGAAAAACTGGCAAACTACAACTTTTTCTTCTATTTATTATCCTTTGTTTTAAACTGTGGGTATTTTGTTTCTTTAGTCTCTAAAGAGTGTGTCATGATTCCCTTTGCTCCAGCCAGTCGCTTATCACACCACATTTTTTCTTGACTTGGACAATTCAGATTGTAGCTGTCCCAAATTCACCCCATCCTCCCCCTGATATTGAGTGTGAGAAAACAAAATAAAATATCTATTTATAGTACGAATCATACTGAAAAGAAATCAGTACTAGGTGCTGGTCCCTTAATATATCCTCTCTCTAATTGTGACAATGACCGCAAGTTGGTTTATGCATTTCACATCTATAAGGTGCCAGGCACTGTGCCAGCTGGAGGGGTACAACAGAGAACAGAGGCTTGGTCCCGCTCTCTCTGTGTGCTGTTGGCTAGTAAAACATTAATCAAAACAAAAACAAATACAAAGGACAAATAGGAGGAAAGAAAAGTTACTTCCTGATTAGATACAGGCACTCAGTCGCCTCTAAGAAGGTGGCATTTGTGCTAAAGGCTGAGAGAAGAATAGAATAAAATGGGGTGATTATGGGAGGGGGGAAACATTCTGATTTTATTCCCACTTTAAAAGAAACTGAGAGCAAAGAGACGAACTAACTTGCTTAAACTCACATAAGAATCTAAAGTGGGATTTCAGCTGAAATCCATGGGACCTCCAAAGCACATGCTCTATCACATGCTTTGTGGTTACATGCTCTGTGGTTATCTGGATGAGGTAGAGAGGGGAAAATGGAGAGAACAGACATCTTCATTCACCCTAGGAAGAGCACTTTACATGTAACAGTTCCTCCTGCAAAAGAGTTGTTCAATCGCTATCTGTGATTCTGTGGCCTTAAAATCAGGGACAATCCTGTAAGAGGATAGAATTTCTCTCTGGCATAGACATCAATAGATAGAAAAACAAAACCTCCTGCCTGAAGGTCCTCTGATCATGGCTCTTTTCCGTGTCTACACCTGTCTCCACCTATATGGAAGAGGGGCTTTGCATGGTCAGGTCTCTGTACCCACCCCAGCCCATACAGGTAGACCTCTTAAAATAGGTAACCCTTTGTCAGCCATAGATCCAGATATGCAAGCAGACTTAAAGGGATTTTCCATCAACAGGTTATCCTAGGAACAGGTCAGCAGTCCTATGAGTGGTAACAGAGAATAGGAATTCTAGGGGCTTGAATACCCAGAATATAGCTCAGGGAGTCTGGGTTGTTAGGTTCCCGGGATCACATGAACTACTTATCCTGTAGGGAGGGGTCTGTTTGGAGGAAAAACAGAATGGGAGTCCACTGGTTCAGAGACCGAATGTGAATCAGCGGTTTTCAAAGTGTGTTCCACAGACCAACAGCATCACCTGGGGTCATATTAGAAATGCGAGTTCTCAGGCCCCGACTCCAGACCTACTGAATCACAGGGTGTATTTACATGATATCCCCAACATCTGTTTGCACACCGTGATTAGAGGAGCCTTGCATAGCATGCGGGACCCAGGGCTAAGACTGAGGGTGACCAGATCTAGGATGGTACCTCTGCTCCTAGTTCACTTTCTGGTGCTGCTTCCTTCCCACCCACAGGTGCAACTCTGAGAGGTAGGGATAGGACTTCCTGAAATGTCTAGAGACCTTGGTGATTCAGGGAACCTGGGAGTAACAGAAGGAAAGCATCCGTCCCAAACCCTGATCAGGGATATGCAGTGAAAACATGGGAGATTTAATAAATGAGGCATGTATTGTTTACTCTTTTGCATATTTTATGAAGGAATAAATGAATCACTGTACAGAATTTGTGTGAATGGGGATGAAGAAGAATTTTTTTTTAGCCTGTACTTTTCTCGTACAGTGTAGTGGTCAATGAACAATATTATCTATGTTAGTCAGTTTTTCATTGCTGGGACATAATGCCTGAGGAGGAAAACTTAAAACAAGGAAAGATTTACAGTGGCTCGTGGCTTCAGAGGTTTCAGTCCATGGTTGGTGGGCTCTTTGCTGTGGGCCTGAGGAGAGGCAGGACACCACAGGGGAAGGACCTGGAAGAGGAAGGCTGCTCAGCTCATGGCAATGGGAAAGCAGAGATCAAGAAAGGGACCAGGGACAAGATGAACCCTTCCAGGACACACTTCTAGTCACCTCATCCTTCAAGCAGACCCCTCTCCCATGGTTTCCACCACCTCTCAATAACTCATCCAATTGCAAATTTGTTGGGGGATTAATCCACTGATGAGGTCAGAGTGCTCAGGATCCAGTCACCTCGCATAGGCCCCACCTCTGAACACTGCTACATTGGAGACCAACCCTTCAACACATGAGCCTTTAAGGGACATTCCAGGTCCAAACCTTAACGTTATCCTTATGGGCATGCAGCTGGGAGGTAAAGGTAGCATCTATAAGGTGACTGAGAGAATTAAATATTTGGCTCATTATGTTCTTTGATTCAGAAAAAAAAACACTCCCAATAATTTGAAATAGTTATATGGTGGCTGATTTACTGACTCTGTGAAAGTCTTGAATCCATAGAAACTCTGTGAAAATAAAAGTAGAAATTCAAATTTACTTCTTTTAGCAAACTTTTTGTTATCAAATATTAAATGCTTTGAAAATGCCCACTTCCTCCCTTTCCTGGTTTGTAAAACCTCAAAGACACAAGTGCTACTTGGAAGGCCCTGAATTTCTCATTTCCCCTGACTTTGAAGCCCCTAAGTCCTGTAGGGGACAAAGCTGTGAGTTGGATGCATGATGAACCTGTGCACGTGGACCCGGACTCAAAGGGACTCAGTGCATCTTAGCCCTCAATGCAGTCCTCAAATCCCCAGGTCCCAGCATCACAGGATTTCAGGATTCAGGAGATTTGTAAGGTTGTTTTCTTCACATTTAATTTTGACCATATTCAATGTAACTGCCAAGTGGTTAGGTATAGTCGATAAGAAAATAAAAGGTAAGGGGACAAGTCCTTTTCTGAGAGCTGCTCTGAAGTTTCCAGCCTTCTGTTTCAGGTCTACTTCAAGGGGTCATTGAAAATAATATCCTTGGCATTAGGCTCAATTCAAATATTTGAAGATATGATCATGTTTTCTCCAGTCCCATTACCTGCCCACTTCTCTGCAAATAATTCTACACACCTTGAAGATAAGTCCTCTCATTTCCTACATCTCTTCCTTGTGTACAACCCCAAACCTTCAGTTCCCTAACTTCCTGAGTGTCAAGTGTCATTGTTTTGTCTGTGGTGGATGTCTTTTGTAAAGTATGACATAAACAACTGAGACCATTAAATGACGAGCTTTTTAAAGCATGTGGAACAGATCAGTACTTCCAGCATGCTTATTTCGAATATTGTATTTCTACTAATAAAATTGAAGGTCACATTTGCTTTTCTGACTGTCATTTTGCCCTGATTGTGTGCTTGTCCCAGTGATTTTCAACCTAATACAAACTAATATTTATTGTTGTCAAATTTCACCTAGTCTTACTTCTTTAATCCAAACACTAAAAATCACTGCAGAGACTGATTTCATGTTTCTCTCACCCTTCCAAAAGTAAATATGATGAACATAGCTTCTATATCTTCATCTAAATAATTGATTAGGTAGTTGAAAAAATATATATTGGATTATAGGAGCTGTAATTTCATCAGTGGGATCAATCCATTTGATGAAGTAACAATTTTTAAAATATTTTTTTTTGTTGTCAATGGACCTTTATTTTACTTAGTTATATGTGGTGCTGAGAATTGAACCCAGTGCCATATGCTAGGCAAGCACTGTACCAAAGAGCTACAACCCCAGCCCATGATTTAACAAGTTGCATGGACTACTGGGTGGTAACTGTAGGTAGCGGGGATGTGGCTGGAAGTAGTAGTTCACTGGAGGCATGCTCTTGGGGACTGAGTCTTTTCCCTGTGCTTCCCAGCTCCTATGAGCTGCCATACACTTCCACCATGATGTCCTACCTCCCTCAGGTCAGAAGTAATAGAGCCCACTGACCATGGACTAAAACTTCAGACACTGTGAGTCAAAATAAATCTTTCCTCCTCCAGGTTTTTGGTCACAGCAACAGAATGCAAAGCATATGCCATTTCCATAACCTTCTAACTGGTCTCACTACATCCATTCTCATCTTTTTAAAAATATCTATCATTACCCTACTTCTTCACAGATATGTTAACCATACATATTTTATCATATATATTCCCTATCAAGAAATACTTAATACCTCTCAATTGTTCATAGTTTTATAAATCCCAAATGATTTATATGTTCACGTAAGATACTTTAAGTTTGGACTCTATCTCCACAGTAGATTTTGTGGCACTCTACCCAGAATCCCACTCCAGAGCCCACATGCATCCACTAGCTTAAGGGTCTTCTTGCTGCTGGTGACTCAACAGCTGCACCCTCACTGGGAATCGCCCTATACATCAGAGAATAGCAACCCTTGAGGCTGTCAGTCAGATTCAAGACAGCCCCCTAAGCCCACCTCCAATAGTGTTGATATCCTTAAGCCCTTCCTCCATGGAAATTGTAGGCCTGGATGGCTCCATCATTGGCTCCCAAGAAGAACACAGAAAAGACTCGAAAACTCAAAACAACAATATATGCAGAGTGGTGCAAGGTTGAGCAAAAGATTGTGTAG